GAAACATGTAAGCCTTTAGGGCATATAAATACTTGTTTACCTTTTATTCTTCTTTATCAACTGTAACACATGTTGTAGATTCAGAATGAATCATTTATGAATGTATATCGCATGTGTAACATTTTGTATGCAAATTCTGATGAATGAAAGTATATTGCTTATGAGTTGGGATTTATTGTATTTATTTAGGGCGTTACAACTTGGTATCAGAGTGTACCAAGTTTAAATACTTTTGGTACGTGGGAAGTGGTTAGTTCCACAATGGGTTTGTCTCGCTTGATAGAGACTCTAGAATGAACGATGTGTACTTACATGATAACATTTTTATCTGATTATATGGGTATGGAATTTAATCTCTAAGATGTTGATTGTGTTTACGGGTTTCTAGAAGTCCTATTAGAAGAGTACTTGATCACTGCTGTTTCTAATTGGAACTCTGGCCACGCCGCGGGACGATCATTATCTAGGAAGGAAATTCATATGTGTTTACGTGATTGTATTCTTATGTGGAGTGAATTATTGTTATCCATTGCATTAGGATGCGAGTGAGTTAGCTTCGGCACATTTGTGAATGTGCTAATCTCTTTTGTTACCTTCATTAGGACGTCAGGATGTGGCCGTGGTGGTGGTAGGCTTGGTAAGCCTAGAAGGCACGAGATGCCTCTACTAGATAATATTTCGGCACAGGAAGAAGGGGTTGGTTAGGCCAATGTGGCCGAACTAGTTGGCTAACAGGCCATGGACACCTTAGCCCGTGAAATGGCCAGAGCATTGTGGGAATCCATGGACATTCTCAAGGTTGAGAATCAAGTCCGGGCCCAAGTCGCTGAGGCAGGGCCATCTTTTTTGAAGAGAGAGTTCTTCTTTTTTGATCAAATCTGGACGAGTTTTTGGGGGATCCCAAAAAGCCACTGAAGGCAGATGAGTGACTAGAACAGATAGTGAAGACATTTGAGATGCTTGGCATCGAGGACGACCAACTAAGGGTGACCTTAGCATCTTTCCAACTGAAGGGAGATGAGGGTTAATGGTGGAAATATGCGCGTGGGTGTATTGGGGTGACTTGGGAGGCTTTTGTCAACGCCTTCCAAAACAAGTACTTACCTGCTACAATAAGAGAGAAGTTGAGGGATGAATTCTCCAAGTTGGCACAGTTGAACATGACGGTGGCCGAGTTTGAGGCCACATTCACTAGTTTGTCAAGGTTTGCACCGCAAGTAGTGGCGATTGAGGAGCGTCGTTGTTTGGAGTTTGAGAAGCGGTTAAGGACCGAGCTCATGTTTCGAGAGGCCAGGTCCATGATTAGAGATTATGGGCACCTTGTGGAGGTGACAACTCATCTTGAGACCATTATACAGATGGATGAGGAGAGAATGAGGGGCTCCAGGAGGAGTTAGGATAATCAGGAACACAGTAAGAGATAGAGGGGTTCTAACCCCTAGTCGTCCTAGGGAGCTCAATCGAGGTCCACTTTTCCAGTACTGAGTTCAGGTTCTGGGAGAGGTGGTCAGGGTGATATGACTTGTTACAAGTGTGGTCAGTTGGGCCACAAATCTCTAGCTTGCCCACAGATAGGAGCAGAGTGACGGTCTGCACTGTCTTCGGCTCGTTCACAGGGCTAGATTTAGGGGAGAGGGCAGCCGTTCACTTGTTATCAGTGTGGGTAGGCAGGGCACATGAAGAGATTTTGCCCACAGTTGGGTGGCATATCTGGTGCGTCTGGTTTGAGGCAGACATAAAGCCACTGGTCTGCATAGTCAGCATAGGCCTCGAGGGCCAATCAGGGATCCTCTTCGGCTTAGTCAATGCATCAGGCATATTCTCTAAGGGGTGAGCAGGTTGAGTAGAGACCCACCAGACGTGTGCATGTTGTTACCCCACCAGATCTTGTACTGACTCCTTCAGTAGTGAGAGGTACCTTCTTGTTTTGCAATTTAGTTGCTAATGTGTTGATTGATATGGGTGCATCCCATTCTTTTATCACTACAAGAAATTGCATTTTTGGCGACTACTTTTGGCAACGACACCAATTTTTGCATAGCCAAAACTATATTTTTGGCGACGCAGTGATCAATTTCGTTGGTAAAAGTAGACCTTTACCGACACAATTTACTACCGTCGCTAAAAATGCATAACATTCACTAGGCGCCAAAATTATTAGTTGTCGCCAAATTTTCAAATATTTTAGCTATGAGACTTATTTTTTAGCAACACAGTAAGCGTTGCTATTAGTGTACTTACTTTTGGCGACGACAAGTTGGTGTAGGCAAAGAGTTAAACATTTAGCGACGATAACACTATTCGTCGGTAAAAATTTTGCTGAAATGGGGTGATTTGGTGAATTGTGTTTTTATTATAACTTTTTAAAAAGTTTTAAATATTTTAGTTATTAAATTGTAAAATTAAATTGATCATCGAATTAGATCACAAAATGAACCCATTAAGCTCAAACACACTCTTAAGTTGAGATGACTAGTTTGAAATAATCTAAACTTTTTCAAAGAATGTGGTTAGATTATCAATTTCAATATGCTTAGTTTTATTTTCAGAAATTTGTTTCAAATTTTTTTTCCTAAAAAACTTTAAAATAAAAAAATTTGATGACAAAATAAAAAAAAAATACTATAATTTTACCTTTTAAGAGATCATAAATAATTTTTAAAATTTGGAAAATATATTTTTTATTTTTATAATTCTCAAATTTAGTTTTAATTTTTTCAAAAAAAAAAACTAAAAATTGTTTTTATTATTATTATTATGATTATTATTATTATTATTTTGGTGATCTGCCTCTAAAAATTGAGGCGGTTCCTATCAAAATTCCCTCTTTTTTTTCCAGGACAGGTAAACTCCTTGTCACTCTCCACGATTTTCATTCTTCGGCAGCGACTAGATTTCAACCTGGAAACAGTGCTCTCTCTTCGGCGGTGAGACTGCTTGGGCGGCGGCGATGATGGAAGGGTTTTGTTCTCTTCTCTTCGATCAGAAAAAGTATCAGTTCAATTCTTGAGGTATGTTCAGATTCTACCCTTGTCTCTCTCTCTCTCTCTCTCTCACACACACACACACACATTCACTCCATATTTGTTCGATTATTTGGTGTTTTTAATTGCAATTTCAATTATGGGTTTGTAGAATTTTGATCGAAGGATTAATGTTATGGGTTGTTGGATCTATTTGAGTGTTGGGTTTGTTTGGGTGTCAACATTGAGACTCTGGTTCATCAACTGGTTCAAATGCTGCAACAGAGCCTAATCGAACCTTCATGAAAATGAAATTAACGGTTACAAATCTATGTTTATACAAAGAAGGTTTGATATATATATATACCCTTTGGACGAATCCCAAGCCTGTGGAAATGGCCATGGATGAGTCGGTTCTTTAACATCCCATGAGAATCCAAGCATCTTTTTTATCAAAAGAATTCCTGAATATTGATTTGTTTTCTCAATTTACTGGCTAATTTGTTGGCATTTCATAGAGTAGTTTTCATTAGGATTTGAGCTTGTGTTGTTTTTGGTGATGTCTTCAGTCATTTCCATTTGGAAAATATATTTTCTTTTCTTTCTTACAATTTGTTAATTTTCTTGCATGGCCACTTTTCTCATCTATGGTCATTGATACTATTTTTTCCTTTTTGCTCATATGTTTAGCTAATCATATTGTTGCATCATATTTGTTTTCTACAAATTGTCTATGTAGTAGCTCACATGGACTAGATTTATGTGACTGCAGGTTCATATAATTGTCCATATTGTTTTTGTGTTATTATTATTATTGGTTTGGATCAATCCTCATTTTCAATTGGTTCAAAACTGGAATGGGCTCATTTCTTGTTGATTTGCTTGGGCTTGAATTTTTGCATGTCTTCAATTCTTGTAACGCTACACAGAACGCATCTCTGATATTAATTCTTTTACTGGCTAAAGCTAAAGGACATTACCACAAACTAAGTGCTTATTCTCTATATTAATTTATCTTTTGGTTTTTTTACCCCCAGATCTGAGCAAGACAAGGAGCCAGAGCAAGTAGTTGTGTCTGAAGTTGTGGGCTCTAGCCCTTCTGAAGAATGTGTTACAGATAGTATGTGATCCAACCTGTGAAGTTATTAAAATTTGTCTGTTTTGTTTTTTTAAGTATTGGATGGATGAAACGAAGTTGAAAGAAATAGTACTGTGGAATCAAGCTTATTGTAGTTACTTTTTCTCGTGTTGTACTGATGAAGAGACATAGTGACGGGAATTGCCATGTCAAAAGCAAGCTTAATTACTCCCATTTTTCACCTTTTAAAATTTTACTGCCTTTAAATCCATATTATTTACGCAGAATATGTGGAATCAAGCTTATTGTTATCAAGTGTTTGGATTTTGCAAGTCATCCAGTTGAATTCTTGTGATATCTTACATGACTCTGGATTGCAGTTCAGTCTCCTACGTTTTTCTAACACATGCTTGTACAATTTGAAGTATTATGCATTTTTATTTCAACTACATAAATCCATGTCAAAGCCATTAAGAAATCTCGCGAATTTTTCTGATACTGTTGTGGTTAAATTCTTTTTGAAAGTAATAGTTTATCCTCAGAAAGATTTGAACTATGGAATCTTCATAATTTAGTTTTTAATTCATCTTTATATACTTGTTTTAAAGGCGGTTCTTTTTCTGATAGTTTGATACACAATAAATGTGGCAAAAATGGAAACCATGGTTACTTGATTGTAGCTTTGTGAAATTAGTGAGAATTCCTTAGTCTACCGCATTTTATAATTTTGAGCTTGAAGCGAACAAATGTTTTTAAAATGGAAAAAGTCAATAATATGATCGAATTAAGGGACCACATTGAATAGTAAGTGGATGTTGATCTAACTTCTTGGATTCAACAAGTTGACCTTTACTAATATGTAAGCAGATGTTCTGGTTTTTGGTCATCTGTTTAAATGATCGATGCTTAATACTTTTTTCTTTTAAACTTTCAGGCTACTCAAAAGAAAATTGTGAAAAATGATGCTTATGTTGCAAGTTTGTTGTTGGCTTTCCTTTCATATATTGATACTCTCACTATTTATGTCTTTACTAAATACTAAACTACTCCATTTGGTGGCAGCATGTGATGTCCCTGGAATTAAAAGATTAGTTCCACGCACATGGAGGGAGTGGGAATTCTTTGATAATATTTATGAACTAGTTGGTGTGCCTGTGGTCACAGTGCAACTCAGATACAACGGCTGGGTCACAGAGTTACAGGATTTAGAACGTTCAAGGTGATCCTCTCATGTATTGAAGTTATTGGTTTGTGAAAGTGGATTCCTTTGGGATCTAGGAATAAAATACACTTTACTTATCATGACTACGGAAAATAAATCACTCCTTGCATGTATTTTTAAGTAAATTTTGCACTTTGTAAATGTTAGGCAAGTAAGGCAAGCTGCAGGGTTGGATAATCTCCTTTATACCCCAGATGCAGATTTCTCATGCTTTGCAGACCTTGCACTCTCATCACCTGAAGACTATTACCTCGAGGGACAAGGCTCATTGCTCCAGTAAGGAAAATTCTCTTCGTTTTGTTTTATGATATTATTGTTGTCATTATTATTAATTGTTGTTATTTCTGTAGAGAAAGATAATGCCGATTAACCACAAGATACATCTGCTGAATGAAATAGTTGAATAGCCTTTTATTTGTCTATAATTCAAAACCAGAATTTTTGCAACCATCCTATTTCTGCCTCTCTTTATATAAAATATATATTGGCCTCTCTTGCTCATGACAATATTATCCTTAAGTTACTAGATCATTCATGATGAAGATTTCATTTGCTAGGACCGCATGCAACAAGCACATGACACGTGTGATCAATTCTGGAAGTTGATTTATTCCCTTGAGCAATTGTGTTTAATCAGAAAAATGAGCTTATAGAAATGCAAACTATTGTTAGGAAATGGGACTTCATGTTTTCTTTGGTTGTTACAATAATCTTTTTCGATTGATGAAAAAGGTGAAGACCACATGCTTGTTTTCATGAAGTTATTTATTGATATTTTAGATTCTAATGTTAATTTCATTTCTTGTATTCTTTATGGCCCATAGCTTTTAAGCTGCAAATAAAGAATATTTTTCATGATCATAAAGCATGATATATGAAACAAGGACCATCCATATTCTAGAATATTTGATCCATTGATCTTTTATGGTAATAACTGATATAACAGTGCATTTTAGGACCCTTGTAGGATCAAATGTCTGTGTCCTAATAATTTAGCTATGGTACAAAATGTTTCGGTTTTTTGTGCTTTTGATTGTTGTATGACATCTGCTTATGATAATTAGCAAGGAACTAAATCTTATTTGCAGGTAAGAAATATTCATTGTTGTAGTTGCTTTACAGATCATAAGATATTGAAATGATGGGTGAATTATCGCTGAAATCTAGAGGATTAATTAGCTTATGATGCCAAGAAGCTTCTATACTGATGTACTTGTGCCAATGATGTATTGCTCATACATATTCACGGCCTACTAATGCCTTCAATGCACTCCCAATGTGCCTACACAATTATGAGCTTGCTTTTGAATATAGAATGGAAGAATATGGTTCTATATTTGGTTAGTTCCTCTCATGGCTTGAGTTTGGACTTCATAGCTTTTAGATAGACCCTTTTGTATGCAGTTTACTGTATCTGTTATTGGCAAGACTGCTCAGAAAGAATAAACTCAGGCATGTACTTAACTTGTTAGTTCCTTAACTCTGCTAATTGACCGGAGTGGGCAAAACTTGGACCCCTTATTTATTTCCAATATATGACAAAAGTCCCTTATGACCCTACATGTGGATTATATCAACCCATACACCATTAGTTGTGTCAGTGCGATTTCGTATAATAATGGTGGTAACTAGGTAATTTTTCTTTTTTCTATGTGATTAATCTCAAACTTCCCTATGCATGTTTGAAATGTAGGATGTTTAAGTTATTTATTGTAGTTGATTTTTGGGTTGAGAACTGTCGATGCATTTGCACTAAGCTGGCTCCATGAATTTTTTAAGAAAAAACCATTTGTTTTCTGAGAATTAACTATATAAAATTGTAGTTTAGCTACATAACCTTCTCAAGACAATGGTCTCTGATTGTTTTTCTTGGATCTCTACTTTGACCTAGGTTGGTGATGATAAAAATCTGCTTGTGAAGGATCATACTCATACTTTAGTAAACAAAGGGGGTGAAATTGGTGGTATGATGTAATTCTTACTTGAAAGACTGACTTGAAACCTTTTGTTTTGGCCATAGCCATACTTGTGTGGTATATTAATTACATTAATCATTGGTTTTGGTGTTGCATATATGACTTAGTTTCCTGCTGCAGAACTGGATTTTAGGTTTCCAATTGGAGCACCGTTACATGGAATTCGTGCTTTTTTGTCTACAAATCAGCTCAAGGTAATGTCTACTATTATAGTTTCCTATTAAACTGAATCTTGAATGTTATTCCAATTTATTTGTGTAGAGCCCATCCATGCAAGAACCCCATGTTTAGTGTTGGACAAGCCATGTTTTTCATGCAGTTCATAATAACATCTTGAAGAACAAATCTGAAGAAGAGGGGATATTGGAAATTGTTTGCATTAAAAGTTGTGCCCATTGATGACTTTGTGTTATTAACTTTGAGTCACCCTAAGTCATATTTTATTTTCTTTCTTAATTTAATAAGCTTCTGTTCAGTTGTGTATATATGCTTTTAATATTTTAGGATTCAGCAGTATTAGTTGCCCATGGGTCATGATTTGTGTCAAATTGTCATAATGCATCTTTTGTTCGTGACCACAAGCTACTAACTTAAGTATCTTGAGTATGTCTCTTGCCATCTCAAAAGGGAGGTGTGTAGGGTTTATGTTCTGTTTGGGGCGTGGGTGTGTGCCTTTACTTATTTAGGGGTGGGGTGGAAGAAAGGAAAAGTTTACAGGTTAATATGGGTTTTCATGGAAAGAGTCTTTTAAGTTTTTAAATAATAGTTTATGGTTAGGATTTACTAATTGAATTAGCTTGCAATTCCAACATTTTGTGCTTTTTCTTTTTTTCCCCACAATTTATGGTGCGATGCCTAGACTTTTCCCCCCTTCTCTTTCTTTTCTTTGGTTATTGTATAGTTACTTTTTCTCGTGTTGTAGGTAAATAAGAAAATCTTTTTTTTCCCCTCTCATTCTGCAAGTCCTCTAATATTTTGTACTTTTTTTAACCTTAATTTTATTGGTGACAATGTTTTTGCTGGTGAAGAATATGAATTGAATTGATTCGTATTTCATAATGAGCAATGGAACTTTATGAACCTTGACTCCCTTGGCGTCTGTTGGCAGAATTTCATTTAAATGTTTTTATTAAACTTACCATTCTTATTTAGCATAGCTGATCCACCCCAAACTCCTTTCCTTCCCCGTTCCAGAAATAGGTGCTTATGGTTTGACAGCTGTAAAGCTTTCTTCTCAAATATCTTCTGTAAAAAAATTATTGCTTTTTCTTTTTTAATTATTTTTCTTGGGGGTGCGGGAGTGGCAGTTTATCTATTATTGTTTTTCTTTGAATACATTGAATTTGGCACAATAGAGGAAATTGATTCCTTTTTCCTTAGGTTTTTGTAAGTGCCTATGTAACAACCTTCACTTCAACTTAGTCATACTTGCATACATCTATGTATGATCTTGTTTTGTTATGACAATTTGCAAATCTTGTCTTGTTTTGCTTGAGTATTGCTTGCATGCTGTGTTCTTGCCTGGTGTGTTGCCGAGGTCATCTTAAGCCTAGACACCTTGGAACCTTTCCACACTTAGAACTGTCTTGGAACCACTTCGGTTGACCTCCATCTTCACCCTGGCATATTTGCCGAGATGTCCCTATCCAAGCCGAGGTGTTCAGCACCAAGGCCGGGATGTGTATCATCTAGGCCGAGATGTTTATCCTTGCACCCTAGTGATTTTGTTTTTGGAATGGTATGACCTAGACCGAGGTGTGGCACATCTAGGCCAGGGTGTGGCACAACTTAGTCAACTGTTGTTCTTCCAAGCCGATGTCGTTGTTACCCTACTTGCCGAAGCTTTGCCCTTAGCCGAGATCATCACTTGCCATCTAGCTTGTTTAACACACTTTGTCATGGTCTTGTCTTGTCAAGTCAGTCACCTTTTTGAGTAGAGCCAATCAACCGATGCCACATGTCCCAGTAGAGGGTTAAGTTAGTGACTGTCGAAAAAAAAATATCATTTTGTATCAAATCTTGTCTTTTAGAGAGAGAGGCTCTAGGAAGGAGAAGGAGAAGCTTTGAGTAAGAGAGAGTGAACTTCCAAGCGTGATCGTTGGAGCTTGAACCGTTAGATTCGAGTTTTGAGGTTAGAATCTTAACTTACTCCTGTTGTTCTTATTGATCATCTAGCTGCATTGCACGATCAAACCCGTTCTGCACGTCATACATTGATTTAAAGTTGGTTTTAGAAAGAGAAAATCGATAAATTCAAAGTAAATCACATATGATCTTCAAGTATGGGTACCCAGGTCCATATTTTCGAACTCATAGCATGAAATCCCAGATTTTGTAATAAAGAAGTTATGATTTTAGCATTCATATTCTTCATGATCTTCATGTTCATGTTCTTCATGTTCTTCACGAGTGGAAACCCAGATCTCCAGACCTCACTTCCCTAAGTGTAGTCGCCGAGATCACTCTTACCTAGACCTCACACTTAGGCCAAGCATCGTATCTCACCTTGGCCTACCTTGCATGATCACTTACACCTTTAGTTTGTCTTGTGCGCACCTCAGCATGCAGCTGCACGCCGAAGCCTAGGTAGCTACACCTTGGCCAGGAGGTGTGGGACCTCGACAAAGACCTGGTTGGTACCCAGCATGTCTTCCTGACATGTAAAACAGTGTTTTGACTTCCAGCATGTTTTCCCGAGATCATTTGCATGCATGTAAGACTTGTTTTGAGAAGTGCATTCAATATACTTTGCCATGTGTTTGTAGGACTGGGACATGCCTTGACCCCGACGTTTGAAGAACTATGTGTGTGGTATTTTTAATAAAGCTATGTTATATGTTTTGATAAAGACTTTGCTTTGCTTTGTTTTGAAAGTATTCGTTACGCATGAATAACTGTCCCTATTTTGCATATCAAGCATTATCTTGTTTGATGACCTTCTCGGAAAGTCCTTAGTGCCAGGGGACTATAATGCAACTGCACATCTCGTTTTGAAAGTCCCTTGTACTGGAGGACTCTAAACTTTCGCAGCACATCTCGTTTTGAAAGTCCTTTGTGCTGGAGGACTCTAAACTTTCGCAGCACATCTTGTTTGAAAGTCCCTTGTGCTGGAGGACTCTAAACTTTCGTAGTACTCTCGTGTTAAAGGGCTACGGGCCTTTGTAACATAGGTCCCTTGTGCTAGAGGACTCTAAACTTTTGTGGCACCCTTGTTTGAGATATCTCCCTTGCTTTGTCTTGTTTTGCCACTCACGATTTACCGAGTGGACTTGTTTGCCGGAATGTTATCATTTGTAATATGTTGATGCTAGTAAGCATCCCCTG